TCGTTTGCATCTTCCTGTATGCAATGCAGTGGTCGCCACGGGGTATGCACAGGACTAACATAGAATTTTTCTCTTCCTGTAGCTACTTTCCGGTCATGCAAATTGTATTCCTGTTGAAGTGAACACAAATCAATGTCAACGATCGATTGTCATGCGGCACATGCAGGTCTTCAAGGGGGTATACTGACCACCGTCGCAAATCATACTCTGACCGGTAATGCGGTCTGAGTCCTTGCCAGCCAGGAAGCTGACCAGGCCGGCAATATCCTCCGTTTGTAAATCCACCTGAAGAGCGCTAACTCGGTATGCCGACTTCTCGTACGCCTCGTCTATGTTCGAACTGCCCACGTTCTTACCCAGCTTCTCGGAGAATTGTTTTGACATATTCGTGGGCACTGAACCCGGGCAATATGCATTGGCTGTGATGCCGTGCTTACCCAGTTCCACGGCGCACGTCTGGGTGAAGCCCCGGACAGCCCACTTACTGGTACAGTATGCGGGACACTGGCCGCTAGGACGGAAGCCTGATATCGAACAGGCGGCGATGAGCTTCCCTCCTTTGCCTTGCTTGACCATCTGTCTCGCCGCAGTAGTGTGGCAGAGGAAGACGCCACGCAAGTTGACGGCCATGGTCCTCTCCCATCTTTCTAGACTGATCTCCAGTACCGGCGTCGTGTCGAGGATGCCAGCGTTAGACACCATCACGTTCACCTCGCCAAAGACCTTGACTGTCTCAGCGACCATGGCCTCGACCTGCTCTTGGTTGGACACGTCGACAGGAACGTAGTGAGCTTTTCTTCCCTTGGCTGTGATCTCCTCTACTACTTCCTGTGAAGCGGCCTGTTGCGGTGGAATGTCCGCTATCACGACGTTGAATCCATCATCTGCTAGGCGAAGGGCGATGGCTCGTCCAATACCTGAGGCAGCGCCGGTGACGATGGCAACTGGCATGATGATATGTTGGAAGGAGTGAGGTTGAATAGCCGATTCGGTTTAATTGGGAGTGATCCGTCTGGGTAGAAGCGTCAAGACCGTAGTCAGCCTCAAGGTGACAACACCTGGCCAAGACTGTAAAATAATCAAAGTTGCCCAGGGAAAACGGAATAGTGGTAATAGCCAGTAGAAGCCGGCTCATTGCTTTGTGCGTGACGCATGCCAGCGAATGGGCGAAAGTATCCGAATTTCCGAGACGCAGCGAAGAAGACTATCAGCCCTTTGCCCAACCTTAACTGGGTTGCGACGGATTCCCCAGGCCTGGAATTACTTGTCCGTTTGCACAATCTGGGACCAACAAGTAGGTTGGTAAAACAGCGCTGACAGTTCTTCCGAGAGAGACATGACATCGATGCCGAATCAACTTTCCTGACAGTCAACCATTGCTTCCGCTTCCCAGTTGGGTATCTTCATATAACCAGCGAAAGGAGGTCAGCTCATACACCATGACCGCCTCCCTGCAAAATGGCGCTTCTTACCCGAGCAACATCGAGACGCGGCTGTTCATCAACAACGAGTTTGTCCCTTCTCAGAGTGGCAAGAAGTTTGACGTGGTCAATCCGGCTACAGAAAAAGTGACGGCATCGGTATCTGAAGCCGATGGAGCAGACGTTGACGCCGCCGTGCGAGCAGCAAAGACCGCATTTCCCGCATGGTCGGCGCTGAGTGGGTTTCAACGCGCGGGCTATTTCTACAAGTTGGCCGATCTCGTCGAGAGCAGCAATGATGAATTTGCGAAGCTAGAGGCCGTGAGCATGGGCAAACCGGTGGGAAAGTATAGTATGTCGCATTTGAACACAGTTGTGTGTATGAGGTACATGTTTTTTTTCTTTTTTGACTGACGATCTGGCAGCCGAGGGCACGAACATGGCCCGCTTCATCAGATACATGGCCGGTAAGGCGGCCGATGTCAAGGGAGAATCGTCGCTTCAGACGCCCAACTTTGTCAATTTCACCTTCCGGCAACCCTACGGCGTGTGTGCGGCCATCACCCCGTGGAATGCCCCAGTCACGGAATTGTTCTTCAAGGTCGCCCCCGCGGTGCTAGCAGGGAATACTATCGTGGTTAAATCGTCGGAAAAGGCCCCCTTGACGAGCCTCCTAGTGGCCAAACTATGCCGGGAAGCTGGTATACCCGCCGGGGTGATCAACGTGCTGAGTGGGACGGGTCCGATCTGCGGCGCCGCGATAGCCTCACACATGGAGATTCGAAAGATTTCCTTTACGGGGTCCGCGAGGACGGGAAGAGCCATTAAGAGGGCCGCGCTGGAATCGAATCTGAAGCACGTCACGCTCGAATTGGGCGGCAAAAGTCCCCTCATCATCTTCGAAGACGCGGAGCTCGACAAGGCCGCCAGCGCCGCCGCCTTTTCGATCCTTTACAATTCAGGTCAGGTGTGTATCGCGAGTACCCGGATCTACGTGCACGCGTCTATCCTCGAGCGGTTCTGCCAACTTCTCGTCGCGGCTGTGAGGAAACAGGGTGGCAACCCCTCTGAAGGGAACGACCCGTTGGTGTCCACCACAGTCCGAGGCCCCCAAGCGGACAAGGGCCAATTCGAGAGCATCATGACATACATCGCCGGGTCACGCAAGGCAGGTGATCAGATCCTGGTAGGCGGGGCCCGCGAAGGCGATCGAGGGTTCTACATACAGCCCACCATCATCTTGGAACCCGACGAGCACAGTGCCGTCATGCGGGAGGAGATTTTCGGTCCCGTGGCGTGCGTCCGCAGTTTTCAGACCGAGGAAGAGGTGCTCCGCCTCGCCAACGACACCGAGTACGGTTTGTACGCGAGTGCCTTCACGCGCGACCTGTCGCGGGCCATGCGCATGGCGCGGAGGTTGGAGTCCGGCACCGTTGGCCTCAACTGTACCAGTCCGATGATGACGTTGGATATGCCCTTTGGCGGCATCAAGCAGAGCGGCGAGGGGAGAGAGAACGGCCAGCACGCTCTGGACGATTGGACCGAGCTGAAGACGGTTTATGTCGGGTTGTGAAGGAAAAAACGGGCACGAAAGCGTGGGGATCGATCAATGGATACATATAGAAGGAAGTAGGCAGTGCAAAGATGGTTCAGACTCAGACTCATTCTGCTTTGTAGAAAAAGGTACCCAGGTAATCCCGTATGCTTTATTTACTGTTCTATCACTCTACCTTGACACAGCACTCTACTCCAACTTTGTCATGTCCAGCACGACACGACCTTGAATGCGTCCTGCGTGCATTTCGTCAAAGACCTAGATTTGAAAGTTCACCAATGTCAGTCACTGAGTCAGTGAATCCGTACATAGGACCTCGCATCATATACCCCAGGTGTATTTTGGCTTTCGTGGGCTTCAAGAGTAGAGTCGCCAGAGACGAATACGCCACGAGATCGTAATGGTGATTTACAGAGCAAGACGAAGACAACGATGAGAAAAGGAGAGAGACACTCACCTGAGTCAGGTGGCTCATTGGTCGAACCGTGACCTGGGGATCAATCTGGCCTCGAGAAAGTGGTTTCAGGCATTCGACTGCGTCTTTGCGGTTGCCGATCATGGTGCCTTTCATCCCTCACATTAGCTACACGCTTCCAGTCGAGAGAGAGATGATCGGAAAGTTGAGGGAAACCCTCAAAGACGGGGTCTAATTAGTTGATTTACTACTCACCCTTGATAGTCAACCGGTTCATAATCATATTAGAAGGGACAGCACCCGCTATGGGCAGCGAGGAACCCTCAGGCAAGCCGACACACACGAGCGTACCACCATAGCGAACCAGGTCCAAGGCCTGATCGTACGATTTGGATGACGAGTTGCTTACGAGGATGGCGTGGGCACCGCCACCCGTGAGACTTTTTGCCTCGTCGGCCAGGGCCTTGTCGGCGCCCTCGCCGGTGAATTTCGTGAAGTCGAGAAAGGCATCGGCGCCGATCTTGCGACAAAAGTCCGCCTTGGAAGGGTGATCGATGGCCAGGACATGCAGGCCCATTGTCTTTGCGTACTGTGTCGCCAGCGAACCCAGGCCGCCACCACCTCCTGAGATGGCGACCCATTGGCCTGGACTCAGCTCGGCCCGCTGTAGGGCGACATAGACCGTGATGCCACCGCAAAGTAGAGGGGCGGCTTTGGCCGAGTCGACGCCATCCGGGATGGGCGTGGCGTATTGGGCGTTCGTGACAAGGTATTGCTGAAAGGTGCCTGGGTGACCCAGACCCGAGACTTTACGGAGCGTGCATTTGCTCTCGTAGCCGTACAGGCACATCTCGCAGGTCAGGCAGGATGAGGCGATCCATTTGATGCCCACGCGTTCGCCCAGTTGTCGTGCCGTGACCCCCGGCCCCAGCTTGACCACGACGCCGACGCCCTCGTGGCCGCCAACCTGGCCTTCGGGTAGACGGACATGGCCCAGTGTCTGTGTGGCCAGCGAGTAGTCCGTGTGGCAGACACCAGAATGTGTGATGCGGACTAGGATTTCGCCGTCCTGCGGCTCTGGCACGTCGACGTCGATGATCTCGGTGGCTGTCGTGCCGGGGTTGGAGTATATGATGGCCTTGGCCTTTTTGGGCACCGTGAAATCGGACATGGTGAGATGAGGCGACCCTGAAGAGGGGATGAGAGTGAGTATATGGTATGTATATGGGTTGGGCCAGCAAGTGAGGCTTTTTGCTTGTGGACAGGACCTGTTCAAGCTCGCCAAGTGTAAAATAGAATCTCCCACTGTCTCTCACTATACGGAAAGGTGATCGAACCCTAACAATTAGGTGCCTAGGGTAGGGAAGGGGACCTGGAGCAAGCACCACCCAATGGCGGAGTAAATGGTGGAGAGCGATAATCAATTCCGTTCTATAGAGCCACACACGAAATTCCGGCACACACGAACCCGAGAAATGGCAAGGGCCCGGCTACCCCCTCAGGGCATCCGAGCTCCATATGCAGATCACCCACGTTGATACGAGAATATGTACCTACCGAGTAAAGGTTTTCACGAGTCAAGATAATATTCCTACTTGTGGTAAACAATATGACGAGACCTGCATTTGAACATCTCCCTTTGCGTAAAGGCGACCCGCCCTTCTCCGCCTGGTCCCTGTACGGGCCGGACGACCAGTTGGGCACACTGAACATATTGACGCCAGACGTGGTGACAGCCGCGGCCAAAGAGATCACCACGGGTGTACGCATAGGTCTCGATGCCCCCGTGGACTATCTTGCCCGGCCTCCGCACGACAGGAAACCCTTGACACACACCGTCATCCACAAGGCTCCTCGAGCTGTGCACGACGACTTGCTCGACTTCAACACTCAGGTGGGTTATTTTAAGACCTTTTCACTACTGACAGCGACGCGTCCTCTCGCTGATGGACTACCGTCACAGATATCGAGCCAGTGGGATGGATTCCGCCATTTCGGGTATCAAAGCCTGGGGCTGTTTTACAATGGTGCCAAAGTGTCGCAGTTGTCGGGGCCTGAAGCGACGGCGAATCTAGGAATGCACGGTATCACCACCTCTGTCACTCCGCATACTCCTCAACCTGCATGAACGGGTCGATGGATACAGGACCTGGGTGTTTCTAACATGAGACATCAAGCATGGTGTGCCCAGGGCATCGTCGGCCGCGGCGTCCTCCTAGACTACCTCCACTGGTCCGACTCCCAGGGTCAAACGTACGACAAACTCGGCGACCACGCCATCACGGTCGAAGAACTCAAAGCCGTGGCTGAGTCACAGGGGGTCACCTTCAAAAAGGGCGACATTCTGCTCGTCCGCACAGGGTTCCACGCGGGTTACGAGACCTTGAGCGCCGAAGAGAAAATCAGCTGGAGTCATCAACACCCGACACGCCACGTCGGGGTCGAGACGTCGAGGAGCATGGCGAAATGGCTCTGGGATTCCCAATTCAGCGCCTGTACCTCGGACGCCCCGGCCTTTGAAGCCATTCCGAAGCGGTCCACGGGGATTGACGATTTGTTCTTGCACGAGATTCTTTTGAGTGGTTGGGGGATGCCAATTGGTGAGTCCAGACTTCACCAACTTTGTGTCTGTATGATAGACGATACGAAACACCACGTCCAGAGAAGTCGAGGGTTCATATCAAAGGAGAAACACCAGCCAATGATGATCCTGATGATGATGATGATGTGAACAGGGAACGAATGCCAGTGTCAATTTGCTAATTTCTGGATAGGTGAAATGTGGAATCTGGAACAGCTCAGCCGACACTGCCACCAGACGAAACGATACACGTTCTTCCTGACCAGTATGCCACTGCACGTTGTCGGTGCAGTCGGTAGCCCCTCTAACGCAGTGGCTATTTTTTGAACTGATGTATACCCAATTGTAGGGCATCCTTTGGTTTCTCTTGTGTTGTCAGCAATTGACGAATTATGCAGAGGACGAACATCCAACGTTGATAAGAACGCAATGAATGGTTCGTTCAAGCAAATATCGGGGTAGGGAAAAGTTATCCACTAGACCCCGAATCGGGATGCCAAATTCTCGAGGCTCTTTGTTGGTGTTGAAGATTCACCCGAGGATCTCTCGCAATGATTGCCTCACAGACGCCGGCTGATGAAACGGCTATCTGAGAGGCGCTGGTTGAGGGATCCGTGTGGCAGGAATCACGAGAGACCTTCCCTGACCACTGCTGTTTGTATATAAACAACCAGGCACCGCCTGAGGCTAGGCATAGACAGACCTATTCATAATCTTGAACAATTTGGGGGCAAGCAGTAGGAGAGGCCAGCCAAACGACCCTAGACGAGTGCCATTGGTACCTTGATATCAAAACTTAGGTAAGCTCCCAGAACCAATCGTAGCGAGTAACAAGTGGTGACCCGGCGGAATATGAGGGTTACCCACTAACCGGAAATATCGTCATTGGAATTGGTGAGTTCCTTGCCTACCCGGGATTGAGGGCACCTCCCAAGTTAAAGGTGAAGTAGCACTGGCGCGGGGTGCAAGGCTCCAAACCAAGTCGACGGACCACAAGGAATAGAGTCCATTCACTGAGCACTCTTATAAGTTTGTCCGGCCTTGATCTTGTTTGAACCTTATCCGAGAGGCATACGAAAACATTGGCTGTCGTACAAAATGGATGGCAAAGTGATCGCTATTACCGGTGGATCGAGTGGTATTGGCAAGGCGACTGCCAGAATCCTGGCGTCAAGAGGCGCCAAACTCAGCATCGCCGACTGGAATGCCACCTCGTTGGCTCAGTTGTCGGCCGAGTTCTCCTCCCAGTACCCCGACTTCCTTTACACGCAACTGGACGTCACCCAGCGTGCGAAAGTGGACGACTGGATCGCACAGACGGTCCAGCACTTCGGACGTTTAGACGGCGCCGCTAATTGTGCAGGCGTGACCGGCCGTACGAACGACCGGATGCCCTTGACAGAGGTCGATGATGAACATTGGGATGTTGCCATTGGCGTGAACCTCACTGGTATGACGATCTTTACAACGCCCCCCCTCCCCCTCCCTGTGACCCCAGAGGTATTCGAGCTCTGAATGACATACGTGGACAAGGCACAATGGCTTGTCTCCGAGCGCAGTTGCGAGCTATTGTCGATGGAGGTAGTATTGTCTCGATTGCCTCCGTGGCTGGTCTGGAGGGCATCGCAGGGATCTCACCGTATTGTGCGGCAAAGCATGGCATTATCGGCTTGACGCGGTCGGCAGCCAAGGAGGTTGCGCAGCGTCAGATTCGTGTCAACGCCGTGGCTCCAGGCACCATCAATACGCCTCTGTATCAAGACTCGATGAACGGTATAGCCGTGCCGCCTTCATGTCCTATGGGACGCGTGGCCGAGCCGCAAGAAGTGGCGGCGATACTCACATGGCTGTTGGGACCGGAAAGCACATTCGTGACAGGGTCGGTGTACACGGTGGATGGCGGCTGGCATTGTTGATTTTCACAAGATTAGGTCTATGTGGCTCAACTGAAACAGTCACATTAGCAAGATAAGAACAATCTTGGAGAAATGATGCATTCATCATCAAGAAATTGCCTCGGTGGATTTGCGTGATGATGCCCGCCGACGATAATGCAGACTCTGGCGATATCTTGAGATGTTCTCGTGCGATACATGGCATCCTCGTATCAGTCATCGAGTATTCGTCGTCTTGATGTGTCGCTATCCCCTTGCTGTCTGGCATAAAACTGTGTGTTCTGAGTAGTATGATTTGATCATAGGACGGAATTGACACACGGAAAAGGAAAATATACATAGCAACGTGATTGTCGGGGTGACTAACAGAGTTTGCGAGGGCCAGGCCCTCAGAGCTATCGGCGCTAGTACGATGTACTCGGTATAATTACCTCCTGTAATTCCTTGATTAGGTAGTAACTCGTCTGCTCGTATATAGTCGACTAGTCCTGGAGTTGCTCCATTGAGTCCCGATCAATACTCATCCGCAACCTGAACCTGATACTCCCGCCACGGGCAACTTTTGAGATCGTGGATCCAATTTTTCAAAGCTAGTGAGTGAGCGAGTGAGTGGCTGAGAATGGCGGGATCGACATCGAGATGGTCTGCCCGAGGCACGCGGCCAGTCAGGGTCGCCAATTGTTCTGGTGGAAGAAGTCAGTGTCTCTGTCCCTGTCTTACTGGCGTTTGAATCCGATACTCTCTCTGCAACCATACTCGACTTTTCTGACTTGACGAACTTCAAGATGACCCTGGCTACCAGATGCGGCGCCAAGCGGAACAAGGGGATGTGGATTTCATCACGGGAGACTACCTTGCGGGTACGCGAAAGCTGTTCAGCACCGGTATCCCTCGCTCGTACTGAACCAATACAGAGGTGAGCTTGGCGGAAAATGCCGAGGCAATGCGCGCCGGACAGCACGATGGCTGGTTCTCTACATGCTGGGATGGCATCGAGCAGAGTCTAGACATCGTCGCGGAGAAGAACATCAAGATCATCGTCAATGGAGGAGGGTTGAATCCTCGTGGTCTCGCGGAAAAGGTCCAGCGGCTGGTAAGGACAACTTCGCCGACTGCCACATCTACATTACACTGCTGCTGATGGTTACGATGTTGCAGGTCGGCGAGAAAGGATACCTCATCAACGTTGCGTTCGTGTCTGGTGATGACGTGTTGCCTGAAATCAAGAATCAGCTTCAACAGACAGGAGAGTTACCACCACATCTCGACTCCGAGAACACCGAAGTCCGCCTCGATGAACGGACGCTGACGTTTCGAGACATGAACCGTAAGCCGCTCGTCGCTGCAAACGCTTACCTAGGTGCTCGAGCCATCCTCGCGGCCCTCGACGTTGGAGCGGATATCATTATTTGCGGCCGTGTGGCCGATGCGTCCCCAGTCATCGCCGCGGCGTGGTGGTGGCATGGTTGGCGAGCGACCGACTATGACCAGCTGGCCGGGGCACTACTTGCTGGCCACCTCATCGAGTGTTCCGGATACGTGACGGGGGGCAACTTCTCGGGATTCGACGCCTTTGACCTGGACCTGCTGGTCGACATCCCATTTGGAATCGCCGAGATCGCCAAGGACGGCAGCTGCGTGACCACTATGCATGACACGGGAAAAGGGGTGATCAATGTCGACGTAGTTCGTTGTCAACTACTGTACGAGCTGCAGGGCGCGATCTATCTCAACAGCGACGTTTCGGCTGACCTTACGAATGTGAAACTAGAGCAGGATGGGAAAAACCGCGTCCGTGTCACCGGCGTCAGGGGTAGTCCACCACCAGCCACGACAAAACTGGGTATCTTCTACCGTGGTGGGTATCAGTGTCAACTGCTGCTCAATGCCACAGGCTACAATACGGCACTCAAGTGGAAATTGCTAGAGAAACAGGTCAAGTACGTCCTCAAGCAGAAAGGAAAGCTGGAGGACTTTGACGTGATCGACTTTCAAGTGTGAGTTATATCACCCTATTCCCTGACTCGTTGATCCAGTAGTGACAGCGGGATTATGCAGCGTCGGAACACCTCAAGCAAACCCGCGCACTCAACTGAATAGTACCACATACTGTCGCATATTCGCTCAGGCAAGCGATGAGGCCACAGTGGCGTGCCTTCGAGCCGCGTGGGCTGAATTCGTTATGCAACATTTCTCTGGTTAGTCCGTCCATAATGTGCTTCCACACCAAAGAACTAATTCTTGACGGTGATACAGGTCTTCATTACGCTCTAGATTTCCGTAGCGCAGCTCCAATGCGCTACATCGCATATTATCCAGCGTTGTATCCACAGAATTCTCTCAAGGAGTTTGCCCATATCTTGAAACCCGACGGCTCGATTGGCCAAACTCTACCTGCGGGCCATCCACCCCAGTATGAAGCCATCGAGAAGAGAACAAACTTCGACACGGAACCAACGTTTGTCCCCTCGAGAACCGAGACCAAAGTTGTCCGTCTAGGCGACGTGGCCCTCGGCCGATCCGGCGACAAGGGCGCCAACATCAACTTTGGCATTTTCCCCAGGGCGTCCAAGATCTGGCCTTGGTTCCAGGGCTTCATGTCTCGGGCCCGTCTACGAGAATTGATCGGCGACGACTGGCGGGACAGATATTTCATCGAGAGAATGGAGTTCCCGGGCATCCAGTCGGTGCATTTTGTGGTTTATGGCATTCTGGATCGCGGTTCGAGCAGCACCGTCGCCTTGGACAATCTGGGTAAAGGCTTCGCAGACTTTATCCGGGATAAATGGGTGGAAGTTCCCGTGGAGATTTTGGACCAGTTATCATCATCATGATAGAAGCTATAAAAAAAAACCATCTGTAAAGCTCTCTTGGGCTTTTTGTTGGACGGGGCTTTCAACACGTCCTGGAACCACCGGGAAAAGCTCATCATACGCGGAGTTATGGTGGCTGCAGGAGCGGAAACCACATTTGTACCGATACCACCACCCCAAACACCACCACCGCTTCCCCCTTTTCCGATCGGATGGCTGAATTCCGCATACGGCCAAGGTGTTTTACATGTTGATAAGACACAGATGTACACATACATAAAAACAAGCTGCACATTGATAGATTTACATATCCCAGAGTCTGTCGACGTCGATCCTTGTTTAGATTAATAAAGCCAAGGTGAATAGTCGACGTCATTATTTACTTTTGTGGCCCCTCAGCCCTTCACCATGACGTCGCAGTCGAGCAGCGCCGACGTCGACGGCAGATGGGACGAAGAATACGACATCATCTGTGTAGGGTCGGGCATCGGCGGCCTCTCGGGGGCCATTACGGCCGCGAGCAAAGGCTTGAAGACGCTGGTGGTGGAAAAGACGTCGCAGTTTGGCGGCGTGACGGCCCTCTCAGGAGGGCAGATATGGTCTCCGGCCAACAAGTATCAACTGGCCCGCGGGATCGAGGACTCTTTGGAAGACGGGATCCGATACATCGAGTCGCTCGCAGACGGCTGGGCAAACGACCGCATGACGAGGAACCTCTTCCACGCCGCGAACGAGGCATTTGATTTCTTGGAGGAAAAGGGCGTCAGGTTTCGCATGATCCCCAATCTGCCGGACTACTACTACCCGGACCTTCAGCCCTTCGCGAAGAGAGATGGGCGGTACATCGACGCCGAGCCGTTTGATCTGCGTCGTTTGGGTGACGATTACAGGCACAAACTCCGCCACAAGGCCTGGTCGAGCCCAGAGATGGCTGGGATCACCGGTCGACCCGAGGCTCAGCGACAGGACTTTGTGTACACCGGGGAAGCACTGGCCGGGTATCTCTTGCAAGCGGCCCTGGAGGCTGGAGCGACGTGTCGGACGAACAGTCCTGCCACGCGACTGATCAGAGGCGAGCCGGAGGCCGGGACGAGTCCTCGAGTCACAGGTGTGGTGGTCAAAGGTCTTGATGGTGGTGGCCGAGAACAACGCATCCGGGCGAGACTCGGTGTCCTCCTGGCCGTCGGTGGCTACGATTACAACTCTGCCCTTGTGCATCGATACGAGGGCCGCTTTGAACCTCACGGTACGCTCGTCTTCCCCGGAATTGACGGGGACCATCTCGCCATGGGGGCTGACGCTGGTGCCGCGATCGCGACGCTGCCACCTTCACGAAGTATCGTTCAGAGAGCAGTGCGCACGGGAATCCGGCGTGATGAGGACTTATCGTCGCCAGCGTTGGACAACGAGATCCTCGCCATGTACTGGCCCGTAGGACCGCATGAGATCGTGGTGAACCGCGCAGGGAAACGATTCGCCGACGAGACCTTCTACCCCGAACTACATGCGAGTTTACACGTTCTCGACCCAGTGCGACATGTCCATCCTCACTGGCCGACGTGGCTTGTTATGGACGATAACTACTGGAGCTCACCGATGCGGAGACAGCAACCTGGGCCACCCAAAGAACAATGTCATGTGGCCGATACGCTTGACGAGCTGGCGACCAAGGCGGGGATCGACCCTCGAGGCCTCAAGAGCACAGTGGACCGTTACAACGACATGTGCAGACAAGGGCGCGACGATGACTTCCACCGCGGTGAAAGACCCTGGGTGACGTCCAGCCTAGCCTTCGCTCCTCTAGGAACTTCACCCTTGGGTCCCATCGAACAGGCTCCCTTTTACGCCACGAAACTCATCCAGGCATTTTTGGGCGTCGGCGCCGCGGGGCTCGAAATCAACCAGCACGCCCAGGTCGTCAGGCAGGACGGCCGACCCATCCCGGGTCTCTATGCCGCAGGGAACTCGGCGGCGCGGACAGACTTGGGCATGATGTTGCAGAGCGGCGTCACGAATCTCCGCGGCATGGTCTATGGGTTCTTGGCCGCGAAGCATATGGCTGATAACGGGTGTCGGAGTCGGAGTCGGCTATGAGACCGTGGAGGCGGAGACGGAAAAAGGAAAACGGGACCGGGTCGAAGCATCAATCCGGGAGGTCCGAGTATTCTTCAGTGAACGGAACCCAGGGCATCTCGATTGGTGAGCGTGTTTCACTTTCCAGGGAACCAGAGACAGTCGCATTGACGGAATTCGGAATTGGTATGGCATCGAGCTAAAAACAAATATCGATGCTCCGTATTGTCACGAGCATGCATGATACACCGTTAGACGGGTGGTGAGCGTCACGGTGGAAGGAAAATGGACCGATGATTTCTGGACTTGTGTAGAGAATAATGTGATTATACATGGAAAGTGTGTGTCTGTGTGTACATGTTTCCATACAACCACGAAGCCTACCAGGAGACAAGAATGAACGCACCCCAGATCAACCAGGCCTATGCCGCACCACCTCTCGAGGAGAGCCGAGGGAGGACCGCCCATATACCCTTTCCCCCCCAAGACCACAGACGGAGATGCCCTTAGTGGAACTTGTTCTTTTCGGCGTTGACGTCGTTCTCGAGGAAAACCTCAATCTTGGGCGTCATCTTGGCCGTAATGTCCTCCAAGAACAGAGCCGAGATCACTCCCACACCACCAAAAGCGATCGAGGTCAAGGCAACCGTCTGAGTGGCTTTCACGTAGCTCTCTGTGAATGCGCTCCCGGCTGCTGCAATAATGGCGGTCGTGGCGCCCTGGATCTTTGCCAAGGCATCGGCACCGAGAGGCAGCGCGCTCAGGACTTGCTGTGCTACAGCTTGCGAGGCTCCGGCGGCTTCAGCAGCGGGGATGACCCGCTTGACAGCCTCGCTGGTAAGGGTGTTGTTCAAGATGGTGGAGAAAACCGTGGTGGCGATCAGGGCTCCGGCGTAACGAGTCACGGCACTGAATAGAAGTATATCGTTAGTCGGAGACGCAACAGAGGGGGGGGGAACTGTGATCGGGATGGGAGAATTGATGCTTACGCAAGACCTCCAGCGATACCGAGATCGACCTGCTCGGCGCCGAATTGGATGTATGCAATGCCGAGATATGCTGCCCAGGAGTAGGTGATGCCAGAACAGGCACAAATGAAGATGAGAGGTGCAACACGGCCTGGGCGGCCCAGGGCAAAGAGTCCACCGAACAGGGTCATCAGTGTGAAGGCTATTACCATCTGCCATTTCCAGTGCTTGATGCGGCCCCCTAATATCGCCAGGCCCATGGAGCCGACGGTGATGCCCAGACCTTGGACCATAGCCAGCTTCATGCCGTGGGAAATCGGATCCGTGGGTTTGGTGAAGAAGACGCTCACCATGGTACCCCATAAGATATTGGGCCCAAGGTAGAACATACCGCTGGAGATACCACAGATGAATGGCGCGGTGAATGCGCGGCCACGATTTCGGCTGAAGATACGTGATGGGGTGAGAGGTTGCTTGAGGGGCGCCCAGGTCTCCCAGCAGCCAAATATCACCAGCAAGACAAATCCGCTGACGAGGGTGCCCACGATCTTGGGGTCCGACTTGTCGGCGATGTATGAGGTGTCGACAATGCCGACCATAATGAGGGTGATGGACAAGATGAACAGGGCGATCCCGACGTAGTCGAGTTGGCGAAGTGCTTGGTGCCAGGGAATACCGCGCGGATGGGCAGGCGGAAAGTAGAGGAAAGCGAGCATCAAGCCGGTTACAGCGTTGGCGATGGCATTGGGATAGAACAGCCACCTCCAACCCTCACCGTTCTCCCCGCCGTTGTTCACTGCAAATTTACCGGCGACCGGCCCAACGACCAGACAAAAGTATGCAAACGCTTCGGAGAGAACGACACCCAGTGGCCGCCATTTGAGGGGCAGGAGCTCCGGGAGGGCGAAACAGGCCATCTGACAACAACCAGTGCCGAATCCGCCAATAGTCATGCCGGCGATGAAGTGGTTAGAAGTCTTTGCAGCGCCTGTGAGGACACCACTGATCACCATGCACAAGTTACCGAACAAGATGAAGTAGCGCCGTCCGAAGAGATCACTGTTGGCGCCGCAAATCATCGAAGCCACGATGGCGGCCACGGAGAAGGCCGAGAGGAACCAGGTGCTCTGGCCTGCGTCGGCATGCAGTTTGGCAGAAACCTGGGCTGAAACCGTTCCCACGGTGGGAAGCAGCCATATGGAAAGACCGGAGGAAGCTGAAAGAGCCTATACGAGGAGACAGAAGATCTCGTCAGCGTCTGGTCTTCTATATCATCCGTTTCTCCCCGTTCAAACATGTCTTTTTGCCGCCAGGCTGTTACCACCTTCGGCATGACCGAGGATCTCGACTGAGAGAACAGAGAATGGTGACGAGACAGGAAAGGATTTGTCCTTACAAACACCACGAGCCAGGTCTTGGGTGTGACGGAGTCATTGGTCATTGGTCTTTCGGATACAGGCACAGCAGATAGTTCGTGGGATTCTGCAGCCTCGACCTGGATTGCCGGGCTCGTAGGAGGCTTCTCCATCCTTGCTGTTGAAGATTTGTAGAGGTGAAGAGGGAGAAGACTTGAATAGATGGTGACAATGGGGGAAGAGGGTTGATGCGGGAGGAGTCACCTCGTCTGTTCGTCTCAACAGGTCCCCCGAGCAGTCCTTATGTGAAGCTCAAAAACGTGGTTACTCTCGGGAGAGGGCGCGGAATCGACTTATTTGGACTTCGGAGACGAAGCCTCTCTCCATACGGAGTACTCCAGACTCCATCCCCTGCCGAGAGTTGTGGGGATAACAGGGATTTCCGCACAAACCAAAGCCATCCTTATTCCGAGCCTTTGGATCCCGCTCTAATTCCGAGACCCTAGCTGCCTAGTTGCGTCGACTAGGTTGGTTCCTGTCCCTACCACGTGCTTCCCCAGAAGGCTGGTAGCGAGGCGTGGCGTGGGGGTAAACTGAGTACCTCGTACTCCGTACCTATTATCCG